TTACAAAAGAGTCAAGAAGGGCAGTGGAAACGAGGCCATCCCCAACATCTTGAGACATCCTTGGTCCCACTGGGGCGTTTTCCAGTGTGATTTTGTAGCACAAACTCCCGTGAGAGAGTCCATTTCCTCACTTGTTAAGGATGGATCGCATGCACCACTTCTCATGGAAGTGGGATTGTGTGGAATTTGTCTTTCTGTGACTGGCTTATTTCACTTAGTACAATGTCCTCAAAGATCATCTATATGGTCTGGTTAAGGATTACAGGATGGGTCCCCATTCAGTTCTTCAAAAGTACTTTCAAATACTTCACCTTGAGATGAAGTTTGTAATTTCATTCCAAGGACTCATGGAAACCAATTTAAACATCATTGAGCAGTAAATTTTCCTAAAATCTTTTTTAAATGACTGCATCAACTCTTGGGTTTCTCAAAATAACGATGGTCTGAGATGCAACAAGAAAAAGCAGGCCTCACTCTCATCCTGGCCTCCACCGATTTCCTAAAATGGTTAATCCATGGGGTGGGGCGCAGATAGGACATGTTCCCTGGAAGTCTCTCTCTGACACTGGCAGAATAAGTGAAAAAATAAAACTCCATCTTCAGAACTAGGAATTATGTAGAAAGAGGACAGGGAAAAGGAATTTAATATTTGTTAAGAATCTACTCAATATCAGATACTTTTACACATGACTTCATTGAATCTTCATAGTAATTCTACAAGAATGGCATTTTAGGGCCAGGCATGAGGCTTTGTGGTGGAGTGCTCGCTTAGCATCATGGGCTTGATCCCCAGAACTAACACCCCCAAAATGGAATTTTATAGATGGGGAAACTGAGGCTTAGGCTTATTCAAGTTCATATAGCTAGAAAATAATGTAGCAAAGATGCCACCTGTGATTTTTCTCCTGGACTAATGCATTATTAGAAATCCAGAATAGGGTGCCTCAAATTATTTACTTTGAAAAGAAATTGTAGATGGCAGAGAATCTGCCTGAAGGTGCTGCTCCTGCCTCCCAGGGCAGAGCTGTGGCCCTCACAGACACGCAGCACCGTTCTTTCTGGATTCTATAGAGGGGTGCCCTTGGAATTGTGCCTCTAAGAGGAATGGCCACCGATGACATTAACTGATGGAGAGTTACCTGCACCACCCTGACTCCATCTTCCATGTTGCCCATGTTGCCTGTGTTGCCCACGTTGACCAGAAAGTTGCCCCCTTGGGACTGCCTGGACAAGACACCAGCGATCACTGCAGGATCCACACAGTACCTCTGGCCAACGGTTCGCATCATGGGTTGATATCTCACAAGATAGGGCATGTCTATTTCGGCCAGCCTTTCAGAAGCACGAACTCCTAAAGCACACACAAAGGAAGGGGGCAGCTTGGTGTGTCTGACACTGAAGTGGGGTCTCAAGAAACAGGGAGAGAGAAAGCAGGCTGCATGGATTGGGTGGCGCTTGAGGCTGAGAAGCCCAAGTGTTGGTCTTACATCCCTAGTGATCACTCTCTGATCTGAGATTAGGACTCTCTTCTTGTGAGCTTAAGTCACTGTCTCATGCATTTTGTAAGACAGGCATCCTCTGTGGCCACCAGTGACCCCCAGAAAGGCACTCAGGGGCTGATCTGATGCTCCAGGACAATTCTGGGGACATGAGAACCATTGGTCCTGTCCTAAACATGCCAGACAGGGTTACACAGTAAAATGCGCTGCCTGTCCATCATTTCCAACAGGCCTATGATGTGAAGGAAAAATTCCCCTAAACTCTTCAATGAGTTCTGGGAGTTGTCTTCCACAGGTTTGCTCACAATGGCTCATCTTTTCACTCCTGAGTGACGCCAAGAAATTATGTAAATTTGTTTTTTTTTTTGTGTGTGTGTGTGTGTGGTTCTAGGGATTGAACCAAGGGCCTCGTGCATTCTAGAAAAGCAATCTACCACTGAGCTACATCCCCTTTTTATTTCTTACTTTGAGATAGAATTGCTAAGTTGCTGAGGCTGGCCTCAAACTTGTGATCCTCCCACCTCAGCTTCCTGAGTAGCTGGGTTTACAGGTGTGCATGGCCATTCCTAGCTTCAAATCATTGAAGCTTAAACCTTTAACAAAATGCTGGAGAAAATGAAAACTGATCCTAATTTACCTAGCTAGCCTTACCTTGTTAGCAATTTTTTTTATTTTAAAAGCACTCTCATCCCATTATATGGACCAGAGTTTACAACCCTGTAAAGCAAAGACTGTGATCTTGACCCTCAACAGAGGCTCAGAGAAGTTAAGTGACTTCTTTAAGACACACAGCCTGTCATAATAAGGGGTGGAGATAGGGAAAAATGGAAGTACCTTGGATTAGACAAAGGGGAATGAAGGGAAGAGATGGGAAATGGGAATAAGAAAGACAGTAGAATGATTCAGACATTATTATCCTATGTACATGTATGATTACATGACCAATGTAATTCTAATGTATGTATAATATGTCAAAATAAATTCATCTATCATGTATAACTAGTAAGAACAAATACAATTTTTTTTTTTTTTAAAGATAGAGCTGGGCTTGGTGGTTCTCACCTGTAATACTAGAGACTTAGGAGGCTGAGGCAGGGGGATTGCAAATTTGAAGCCAGCTGGGGTAACTTAACAAGATCCTGTCTCAAAATAAAAAGTAAAAAGGGCTAGGAATGTAGCTCAGTTGTAGAGCACCCTGGGTTCAATTGCCAATACTGGGGGAGAAAAAAAATTTTAAAAAGCAGAGCCAGAACTTTAACAGTCCTTGGCCTCCCGACCCAGGGCTTTTTCCACCACTCCCTAGCATGGGGCTGTGGGAAATGAGCCACGAGGGTATCGCAAGGATGAGAGTGGACCCAGAGGTTATGCGTACCACAGTAGTTCAGGCCATGACGTCTTCCAACCCCACAGGATGCTCCTGGAGTGTCCAGGGTTCGGATGTTTCCGTAACATCCCCAATTGCTGCTTTCAGATAAGTCTATGGATGGAGAGAAGTTGAACCTAAGACATTGACCTAGAATAGTTCTTATCATCCTCCTATGAATGGGATGGCAACCAGTTTTTTTTAAAGGTCATAATAAAACCAATAAGAACAAGAGCTTCACTCTGCAGTTGAAAATCTTTTGGAATTTAATTCACAGTATACTAAGGAATTATCACAGACATGGCTTTGCTGCTGAATTCTCACCTCTTCTCCTGCAGACATGAGGAATTCCTGGGAAAAGCAGATCAGAGACTATCTGTACCCTGGTCCTCTCTTACCACCTCTATGAACTCAGCACTTCTCCCTCAAACACTCCTAACTCGTCAGCCTGGTGGCATATTTATGCTTGGTCTTGAGAAACGTGAATAAAGCCTGCATCTCCCAGGAATTGCCACCAAGACCCAAGGCAGGGCACGTCCACAGCCTGGGACTGGGGTCTGCTTCACCTTCTCGCAGTCCATTCTAGGTGGGGCCTAAGGTTGCAAAGGCGGCATACGCAGGTGAGGCTGAGGACCAGGGCTGTGCGTGGGGTTTCCTCTTCCTGCTCCTTCTCTTTCTTTATCTCCCACTGCCATCGTAGCCATCACTGAAAGCAAGGTGTTGTTTTGGACACTATTGAGATTTCTCAAGGACCATTGAAGAGAAGGACATTTCTTCTCTTCACACCAGGGAAAGAGTGAATGAGTATTTTTTTGTTTTGTTCTTTTGAATTTATCATTTTTTATTATGGTAAAATATATATGACATGAATTTATCACTTAACCATTTTAAAGTATATAATTCAGTGATATTAAATATAGTTATGATGTACAACCATCGCCACCAACCATCTCCTTGAATTTTTTCATTTTGTAAAATGGAAACTCTTACCATTAAACAGTTGAGTCCCTATTCCCTGCTTCCACCTGCTCCTCACAACCACTATTCCACTGTCTCTCTCTCTGATTTGCCTGTTATGTAACTGGAATCATCAAGTATTTGTCTTTTTCTGTCTGGCTTATTTCACTTAGCACAATATCCTCAAAGTTCATTCATTTTATACCATATGTCAAAATTTTCTTCCTTTTTTAAGGCTAAATAATAATCCATTGTATGGACATACCACATTTGCTTACCCATGCATTTGTTAGACACATGGGTTGCTTCCATTTGAGCTACTGTTAAAAAGACTGCTATGAACATAGGGTACGAATATCTTTTTAGTACTTTGCTTTGAATTCTTTTTGGTATATACCCAGAAGTGGAATTTATGGATTGTATGGTGACTTCATTTTTAAAGTTTTGGGGAAGCACCATTCTTTTTTCTAGCCCTTATGCACTTTAGCATTTCTACCAACAGTGTACAAGGATTCTAATTTCCTCACATTATCATCTCCATTTGTGAGAGTAGCTAGTGGATGAGAATTTCTAATATGTAATCAGCCCTCTTTATCTGTGGTCTCTGCATCCATGGATTCAACCAATGGCAGATCAAAAATATTTACGGAAAAAAATGTACCAAAATGTACAAACCTTCTGTTCCTTTCACTACTCCCTAAACAATACATCACAACAGCTATTTACATAGCATTTCCATTGTATTAGGTACCATCATCTAGAGACGATTTAAAGTAGACAAGAGGGTGCACATGGATTCTATGCAAACACTATGCCACTCTACATAATGGAATTGGCATCCGAGGATTTTTGGTGTCCTGGGATCCATCCTTCTTCCCCTGCAGATACTGAGGAACAACTATAAATTTACAATTCCCTGCAGGAGGTGGGTGCAGGAGCCAGTAACCAGATACCTTCAGCGGATAGGAAATTGCTCCTTGAGAAAATCTTCTCATCCTTGCATCCTATGTGAACCTCTCACTAGCATATTTCTTAAAATGTATTTTATTCTTTGATGAAAGTAGATTATATCACCAAATATTAATGATTTTCAGGTATGTGCAGTGTGTCTATTGTGCACCTCTTATGTGTTCTGTATATTAATATAAATGCATTTTTAATTTCTTTGTCTTTACTGACAGCTTCATGAGATTGACATCTGAAAATACTAGTATTTTGGGTAAATACTTCTACCTTAGAGACTGGGGATGAGTTATCTGAAAGAAATGTGGAAATGAAAAGACCTTGTCTTTTGTGAGTATACTAAAAATTAAATAAGCCGATATGTTCTTTTTAGCTTTTTAATCAGTGCACATTTATCTTTATGATAGGTGACAAATTGACAAATACCCTTAATATTGCACTAGTCTGTCACTCAATGCTGCCTGCCATGAAGATTTCTCCCTAAACACATTACATTCCCAATGCTTGGCACTTTGTAGGAATTCTTAAAATATTTGTTGAATTAATGTAAGGCCCCATCAGAGACATTTTTTCAATTTAGAACCAGGAAAAGTTTTGCTTTTCCTAAGGAACCATTTACTCCTTTAACTTGTTAAAAAAACAAATACTTTCACTTGTTAAAAAAAAAAAAAATCCCAGCTGCAAGAAACTTTAGGTCAAAGCTAAAATTCAATTGAAGTGACTCTGTCAGCCTCAGTGGCTGCTAGTTTGGTCACATCTTGATTCCTTTAGTACTAGTTTTCTATTTGAATTATATCGGACTTACTATTGCAACTACCTCAATCTTTTTATGGAACTATATGGTCTATAAACAAGTTCAATAAATACTATTGATGAAGCAGTTTTTATAGTAGACAATGAGCAGGTGTATATTTACACTTGGTGTATAATTACAAGACTTTAATCCTGTTGTAAACTATCTGCTTTATAGCCCATCCCAAATTCTGGAACATTCAGGGGAGAGACTGCTGGTCAATGACTGTGCCTAACTTCAGGATTTATTGGACATCTTAGGAGAAAATAATTTCCACCTCAATTTCAAGTATGAAAGTAGCATCATTTTCTTATGTTTCTCCATCCCACCTCCAAGGTCATTTGGGAAAAATGAAACACACTCACCAGTCAAGGCCAAGAGGCCCAGCAACAGCCACAATGCAGACATGTCAAGGGTCTGGCTCTACAGCTCCTGAAATCAAAATTAGCTTGGAGATGAGAAAACAGCAATCGCTGTCAACAACATGTAATGCTTCTATGGGAGGAAGATGAATGGAAAGAGTTCACTTATCTCCAAAGAAGGAAAATTAATGATTTGGGTCACAGTTAAAAATCAAGAGTGGGACAAATGCTCCACCTATCCTTTAATTAGCTTAAAAAATGGGAAGACTTCTGCTTGGTCTACAGGAACTCAATATCGCATCCAGACACTGGATACTAATTATTTTAAGACGCCAAGATGCTTTGGTTCTCAGTACCGAGAACATGGTAACTGGGTTCAAGACTCAGAAAAGCAAATATTTGATGCACCTGTCTTATCCCAAGAGCCTCTTCATTATCAAACTATAATGTGAAAAGGAGAAGTTCATATTGGTCATTTCTCTGAATCTGGATTCTTCTCTCTCAGTTGGAGGAAAGGTCACACTTCTTCAGGGCCTTGGAATGGCTACTGAGTCTTAGGATGAAGGAAGGAGCCTGAGGGCATTCCAACTCCTCAGCCCGAGTCTGGGAATCCAGATGCCTTTGATCACTTTGAACCATGTTCCCCAATATCCCTCTGTAAAACTCCTGGGCTGAAGCTGCAGAGAATGGAGAGACAAGTTCCCAGGAAAGTGGGTCATGGGCAGGGGTCCTAGGATCCACTCATGAGGGGCTTGCTCAACAGGCCATCTGACAACTGGCTGCCATGGAGATCATGTTCCCATGCTTTCTCTCTTATTCCAGCCATTCCGCCCGTTACTACCACAGCCCCTGCCCCTACTAGCTACCAAACTAATGCATAAAAGCCACCAAGAACAGTTGACCCCAGGGAATGCTGGAGGAACCAGCTCCCTGCCCCCAAAACTTCCACTTCCCCCATCTCCATCATCAGCAGAGCCTGGTGACTTGCCATTTTGAATTATTACCATCATTATGTGTAGGAGCCTGAGTATAAACCTGGCACATAGCACTTTCTCTCTCTCTCTCTCTCTCACTGAGTACAGCCCCAGCCCTCTTTTGTTCTAAAGTTATTCTTACAGGCAGTTTCTTCCAAATACCTAAGAGGTGCCATCTCCAGATGGAGAGGCATTAAGGAATTCATCTGAGTTCCATCTTCTTAAACTAACGGAGCAAGTGGCCCTCTGATGAGGCCACACTTTGTTTTTCTTCCCTATGACTTTGTGATGGTCTGTCTGGTTTTGCTTAGTTAAACAGAAAACGTCATGCACAATTGCCCAAAAAAGGTATAGGAACTTGAGATATTAACTGGGTCTGCAGGAACTCTCGGATTTAACAACTCAACGAGAATCATTTATTTTAGCACCCCTGAGCTCCCAGCCCTGAATGAGAGAGGACAATCAATTCCAGGAAAAAGGAATGGAGAAAGAACAGCATGAGACCAGAAAACGCTCAGGGTCTCATGAAAATCTGTCTTGACAGAGGCAACTCACAGCTTTATGGAAAGGACCTAGAAAAAAGCACTGCTCCCATTCAAATGCCAAACCTGGAGCATTTCACTCTTTTTCTGTTTTCCAAGAAAGAAATATACTTGCTCTTGGAAACCCAAGTGGAAAGACTTAGCTTTTATAAGTGCTTCTCCATTTTCCAAGCATGGAATTAAATATCTGTGTTGAGCAAGCACTTGGTTGAATCTAAGTAAATACCTGTGCCATGTACTTAGTAACATAGAGTTACTTTGTGGTTGCCTTTGAAACCAGATCTTCAAAGTAATTTTTCCCCATTATATCAGGGAAGAGCAAAAAGTGACAATGAGCTTCTCATATGGATGGACAAAGTGTTCCATCCATAAACAGCAGGTCGAAGCAACTCAAACTCTGTGGCTCAACTTTATAGGCCAGAAAGTACTCTATGTTTAGAAGGGATGGTGGAGGCATCCCTAGGGTGTGCTCAAGGAGTGTCCATTGGTCACTGGGACTAATATGTTAATATCCCTATGGCTCACTGCACTCAAAGCCATCATAAAAAGGTTAGGCTAAGACATACTGAGTCTCAATGCCCAGAACAATATCTATAATGGCAAAGTGGTTACAAATAGCAAAGTGGTGTGACAAGCTGAAGCCACAGGCCACCCTGTAAACTGGTAACCGGAGAATCTCTCAGAGTCTAGTTCAAGTTCCTGCTGCCTCGCCAAGATATCTTTTTCTGTATTCTTTCCCCTGAGCACTTTGTGTGTGTGTGGGGGGGGGGGATCCTCCTGCCGCAGCTTGCGGAGTCACTGGGACTACAGGCGTGCACCATGCCACTGGGCACTTTGTAATTCCCAAAGCCTTGTTCAGATTTATAAGGGATAAGGATAATTTCTTCCGCAGTTCAATTGTTTCCCTAGACAAGGTGGAAACATGGCCTTTTGGTCCTTGTAGTTCTCTCACCTCAGAACCCCCATTCCTTTTCTATGAACGTCCTCCATCTTTACCTAAACTTTAAATAAGAGCATCCCAGGTGGTTTGGGCCTTCCAACCAGCTTGGAAATGTGCTCTGTTAGCACCCTGACATGCTGAGAGGTGAAGGTGGCCCTGCCCAGCGTGGCCCCATATGATCCTGGAAGAGCTGAGAACCACCCCAGGCATCCACATTAGGCATCCTCCTCCACCAAGTTACGTTGTGGCCCTTGGTGAGTTTCTGGAGCATCTCTCCACTGATGCTCCATGTGGGCCCGTGGACCTTTCCAGGGGCCTCCCGTCTGAGTCACACTTCTCTGGCTGTCCTGCGTCTCCCGCCTCCTCACACCACAGCAACACCCCAGTCTTGCACAGTGCTTTGCACCAACAGTCCTCAAATTAAAATGATGGTACCAATGACAGTCACGAATATAAAATGCTTCTGCCACTGTGATTGTTTTTCTTAAGAAAAAAAAACAACTAACCTTTTAGAATGAAATTTAAGGCCATGACATGACAGCTCATTTTAAACTGTCTTGTTTTTTTTTAATTGCCTTTTCCATGATCTAAAAATGTGTATTTCCTGAATTTGAGTTATAAGCCCAGAAAAACTCAAGAAAGTTTGGTTGATTCACTTGCTTCCCTGTGAGCAAATCCTTTTCCTGCTGAGGAGACTGTGCACCTCTCTGCCTACTTTTCCCTCTGAATTTGGGGTTCCTGGAGCTGAGAACTCCAGGAAGGCTCTTCTCCTTGAGTTGGGCTTGCCTAGGAATATCCCCTTCTGAACAAAGATCAAATCAAGAGACCTGACCTGTGTTCCATGCACACACTCTGGAAGCTTATCTCTCTTTTTTACTCTAATAGCTAAGACATAAGCTGTTAGATAAGTTGACTTAGTTTTTTCACAGCTTTCAGAGAAAAGCAGACTCTGTTGTAGACCCGACATGTCTACAGCATGTGGGATAGCCTAACATTGGCAAGACTGAAGCACAAGAGCAAGGAAGAGATTTACCATCCTGCAAAACACAAACACCTTCATCCTCTGGTTTTGCATTAACAAAGAAGACATCCATTGGATCTAACACTACTACTATTAAATGCACACAAGATTTTGTTCTTCCATTCTTTGTTTTGCACATGCACACAAATCCAAAAGAAACTGTATATTAATAGAAATCTAAGTCAGATGAGGTGGCATACACCTGTAATTCCAGCTACTCGGGAGACTGAGGCAGGATGATCAAAAGTTCAAGGCCAGCCTGGGCAACTTAGCAAGACCCTGTTTTAAAATTAAAAAGGTCTGGGGATGAAGCACTTGCCTAGCATGCATGAAGCCCTGGATTTAGTTACCAGTACTGGGGAAAAAAAAAAGATCTAAATTTTTGCAAGTATTGTAATGAATAGGAAAAAGAATGTCCTATCATAAATATAGGTTTCAAAACTTGTTTTTTCTTGCAAGTTCCAAAAGTGTCATTTGATCCAACCTTTCTAATCCTCTCAGCAGCAGAATCACAATCATTATCAATCAACCTCCCTATACTAGATTCTTTTTTTTACCCTAACTTAGCCCGGCACAAGTTCCACACCTGTTTATACTCACCTGTCTTCAGTTAGCTCTTGTGCTTAGAAGCAGTGAGTCTACTGTGCTTTATATACAGTCCCTGTCCTGCTTCCTCTTTTTTTAAAAGTGTTGACCTCATCCTATTATAATATTTATGGCTAAGTCTCATAAATTTTAGTAATAATCATAATAATTACAAATACTTTGAACTTATTTGCTTAAGCCTTTTATTTAAGAGTGTCTTGGCATTTTGCAAACATTAACCAATTAGTTCCTTACGACACCTCAGAAGCCAGATCCTAATTGTGGGTTCACGTTGATACTTTCAGGTCCAACATTCAACTTCATTCTCACCAGTTTCTGGGAATGGGACTATGTACAACAACAACAACAAAAAAAAAAGCAAGAAAATTAGTAGTGGAGAAAGAGAACGGGGAGGGGGAGGAAGGAAGGAATTGAAGTTAGAGTGTCAGGAACTCTCACTCTTTGTCTGCTTCTAGATCAGGGTCACCGATTCAACATCCCAGCTCAGATGTCAGATATTAGGATTTTGTAGTTACCACCCACGAGTAAGATGGTAAGGCCACCAAAACACAGAGTACCATGAGCAAGGATCCAGACTTGGATACCCAGGGGGAGGGGAGTGTAAGAATTCTGGGCTCCCCTTTAGTGTTTGCAGAGTTGGGGTTAAAAAAAATAGAGAAATAAGGTACCACATTAAAAATCCCTACCTTCCCAAAATGGAACCCTTTCGGTTTATCTCACACATTCCAACAATTAAAATTTATTATAATGTGAGAAAATTGGGAGATGCCCTGGCCCCAGCTACAGAGGCAATGTGTCATCAGCACTGAGGGCCATGTTAGCGTCCTGGAAATGTCTCCCTGGTCAACAGCCAGCACATTGCCTGGCAACAGTTCTGCAGAAGTGATGCCCACCTATGTCTTCAGGTTCTCTCCGATCTCAGTCAGTCCCTTATGGGCAACTTTCCTTTCAAAGACCTCGTATATACTTACAAATCCTGTCCCAGACAAAGGGAGGAGGACCCTAGACACCAGTGGGGGAGGCAGGGAAAGGATTGGAAAGAAAGTTCAGTTGGGCCCAGAGGCAGGTGCCTGAGGAAGCTGAGGCAGGCAGATCGCTTGAGCCTGGGAGTTCGAGTCCAGTCTAGGCTGCACCTGGATTTAAGTGAGACCACATTGAAATAGCTCGAGACTTCCCATGCTCCAGGACTGGCTGAGCAGTGAATGCCACCCCCTCCACCATCCCCAGGCCTGTGTGAGACTCAGTTTGACTTGGTTTCTCAGAGGAACTCTCAGTCTTCTTACTCTCACCTTAAGGCCAGGTTCTTCATGACATCTGCCCAAGGGAGCACAAATTTAGTCACTGAAAGAAAGGCCCCAAAACTTAAAATATGGAGTTTAATAGACAATTGGGCTCCCAAAAGGCAATTATTCTACATGTCAAAAACCTAACAATTCACTTTGCCCATCTCTCTCTCCAAAGCATCAGGGATTTCTCTTCTAAAATGTCTCTTAAACAGCCAACATTCCCCCATCTCTTGGTCCCTCTTGGCATTTGCTGTTACTCCAATAATGGAATAAATATCGCACAATTCTGCTGCATTCAGGTGGAAAGCATTTATTGAGGCTTTACAATCTTTAGCAAATGGCTCCCTGCCCCTCACTCCTTACTTCATCACCTGAGTTGACAGACAGGGAGGCAGCCTCCTTGGGAACTGAGGGTTAGGCTCCCATGGACGTTGCCCCAGCAACATTTGGCTCTTCAGTGTGGGTGCTCTACCTCTGAGCTACATCCCCAGCCCTTTCTTATTTATTTATTTTTAAATTATGAGACAGCATCTCGCTGAGTTGCTTGGGCTGGCCTCAAACATGCCATCCTTCTATTTCAGAGTTCTTAGCAGCTGGGTTACAGGGATGTATCACTGTGCCACACGCTCAGACAATCCCTTCTAGGCA